GGGGGGCGGGACGGCAGGGAGACGTTCAGGTCGCTGCAGCTGACGTGAGAAGCTGACATGCACAGATTTGGGTGGCAGGGAGGTAGGGCAGGTTGGGGGAATTTTGATGTGTGGATGTCGCTTCCCGACTCACATGAGTGTTTCCCCATAACTTCCGTCTGCGGATGTGGGCCATCGTTGCATTCATGGCGCGATGGTAGATGGGGCAGTGGATGGAATGAAGGCAGCTAGACAGGCAGGCAGACGGAGAGACGTCACTGTTCATGTGTCGACCCACTATGGAGGTGTCACATGGTTAACGATGCACCTGCTGCCTGCCTGTCTGCACTGCACGCAACGGGGACAGTGGCTGGTTGGCTGCCCGCGGATGGACATTTTGAAATATGTCATGTGTTGGTGTGTGTAGTGAGTGACTGAATGAGTTTTGTTTGTGTGTGAAACACTCACTTAGTGTGGCCAATAAAGCGGCGCATTGAGAATATGGCATGTTCACGACAAAGCTGTCGAGTGACGAATAGCTGCTATCGACTGACTTCCCTCCATGCATGCACCCACATACCGTGTGTGCGGCGTAGGATTGAAGATATTCACACAATCAGACGAGTCCCGCACACACTATGAATCCAGCCATCCATCCATCCATCCGCTGTCATACCAGGAGAAAACGGCCTCGCTCTGCTCCTCTTTGGAGCTCCCGCATATGAGTGTCATGATAGTGATTCTGCAATGGGACGTGCCCGTGGATAAGGCATGAACGAACGAATCACTCGTCATTCTCTCGAGTCACACGAGCGTGTGCTTGAATGTAAGCCAAGCAATGAATCAATCAATGATGGATCATTGTCATTCATTCATTCATTCAGTGAATCACTGCATCAATGCGGACAACCCCTCTCGGTTGCTTCGCTTGGGAGACGGCCCCTCTCGTGCCGGCCAACCAGGAAGCAGTCGGTCACGCCAGCCATCCATCCATCCATCCACAGCAAAGCCCCCCCACCTGCCTGTGTCCCTCATTCATCTTCGTCGTCCACTACTCCTCCATCACATCGTCACCGCCGCTCTCCAAATCCCCCTCGAGTCAGCTACTGGAGTGCGGCCCCCAGTTGCTGCCATGTGAACTGGCAGTCCGCATCCCCCAGGTGGGTGTTGAAGCCCTTGACCACCGCCCCATCCGCCAGCCCCCACTTGGCCGCCTCGTCCATCCTGGCCCGATGCACCACCTCACGCAGACCCAGATGGCCACGTGTGTGCACCGCCTCGCGCGGACGGCTGTCGAGACCCTCGAGCACGAAGCACTGCAGCTGCGGCAGACGCACCACCTGGCCGCCCACATCGGCCGTCCCGCCCACCACCTCCCTGTTGCTGCTGGCCTGGTACACTGCCGACTTGACGAAGTGCTCCGCTGCCGCACACACACGGCGGGCCATGTCGCTGTGCCGCACACCGATGGCCTCACTGATGGCCTCCTGGGCGGCATTCATGTCGACGAGGTATGAGGCGATGCGCCAGCCGAAGATAGGGGCCTCCAGCGGACGGACGGCCAGCCAGGGGGCCAGGAGGGCCGCGAGTTGGCGGTGGGGGGCGAGGGCGGCGTTGACGGCCGACATGACGGCAGCGGGCAGCTCATTGAGCACCGTCGCATACTCAGTGAGCACCAGCTGACGCTGACGGCGGTCCTCCTCCGTGCCTGTGGGGATGAGATTGATGTCGGCCCCCGCCCGCAGCAGGCTGCGGATGGTCAGCTTGAGGTTGGGAATCTCAGCGCGACACCGCTCTTTGTCGGGCTCGGGTGTGTCCGGGTCCTGCAGCTGTTGGGTGTGCCAATCGAGCTGTCTTTCGGCTATGGCGAGGGGCGTGTCGCCGAGGCCGTCATGTCCATCGATCTGGTCAGCGGGCAGCTTGCGGCAGAGGTAGTCGGCCACTGGGGGAGAGCCATACGCTGCCGCGTAGTGCAATGGCGTCCATCCAATGCCGGCCCCTACCGTCATGTCGGTGCCCTTCATTCTGATGAGGTCGAGGTAGCTGTCGATGAAGGACTGGGGATAGTGCCCCCCCGCCACCTCGGCTGCCTGGTGCACCAGGTTGAGGCCATAGCGTTCTTCGGTGGCGAGGGTGGGGTCTCGTGCGACGAGTCGCTCATACAGCGACAGCAGCAGCTCCAGATACTGCGGGGGAGGCGGACGCAGCGGACGCGGCAGCTGCATCACCATGCATTCGTCTGCTGCGCGCAGGTCGATGTTGGGACGTGCCATCAGTATGTCGAAGGCCGTCTGGTTGCCGCAAGCAGTCGCCAGCCGGATGGGCGTCCAGACGCTCCCATCGGCCTCCAAATTGGGGTCGGCGCCTCCGTCGAGGAGTGCGGTCAGGACGGCCGCCTGCAGCTCGTCAGATGACCAGTGGGGCAGGGCGACGAGACGGGGGACAGCACCATCATCGTCTTCTGCTTTGACAGTCCGAATGGTGTAGCCCGATTTGTTGTCAATGGCGATGGCGAGCAGGGGGTAGCCGAAGACGGTGGGGATGTTGGTGCTGCCCCTGGCCACCAGCCCAGTCATGACATCTGGGTCGGCGCCCTGCTGCCGGATGAGGTCGGTCACTTCTCGCGCACTGGTGAAGCGGCGGCCGATGATGCACCGTGACAGCTCCCTGGTGGCGTCGCTGGTGCCCTCGGGGAATCGAGCCTCCAGCTCGTCGAGTCCGATATGGCCGTCCGGCACAGGGACAGTGGGATCCGCCAGGCCACTGAGAGGATGACCTGTGACACACACAGAGCCAACACAACGGACGATGCACAGGATCCTCCCTCGTCTGTCTGGCGTACCTTCCTTCTCATAATCATTGTAGTCGTCATCCAAGTCTCTGTCATCGATATCGTCACCTCGGTCGTCGTCATCACCATCATTCTCCTGCACGCAATCCAGACACACAACAAAGAGGCAAGGGAGAACAAACGACGTATGTGCCTCCATCGCATGGACCAGTGCTGTTGTCGATGAGTGCCTCACCGATTCGTTCTCATTCGCCGCCTGCGGACCCTTCTCACCGTCGGCCATCTCGTGAGCCATCTCGCCCTGCTGCTGCTGCTGGTCGTCTGAACACCACCACATAAATCGAGCAACCAGGCCTGAGTGTGCTGCTGATGTGTGTGTGGAACGGTCTGTGTGGCATGGCTTGTAACTCACCCCTATCGACGCTGTCGAGATCCAGTTCCTCCGCCTGCCCAATGCCACTATGCTCCTCCTCAGCTGCATCGCCTGCATACACCACAGATGCACAGGAATGATACGATGCTGTGTGTCTGATGCGCTGCATTAGTGTGACGCACCTGCATCGTCCTTTCCACATCCAGTGCAAGAGTGCATCTTGGTATCGTGACACTCAGACATCACTCAACACAGACACCAACAGCCGCACGATCCACACAAGAGAGGCAACAAGAGGTTGGGATCCCTTTGTGCCCGCGCTGTGGCTGTGCTCACCTTTGATGAGTCAATAAATGGCTGTGTAGAGGCGTTCAACCAGTCCGTGCTGCCCCGTTGGTAAAACAGCTCTGCATTCCACAATGTCGGCACACAGAGGCAGCAAACCACATGATGATGGCGTGCTGAGCCAACCAATTGCATCCTCGCTCACCGTGGATGAGAGCTGCCACGTGGCGCACGCTGATCTATGGACGCTAAGTCAGGTAAACCAAACCCAGCCGCTGATGGACAACTCCCGACTGTCGGTGGGAAAAAGACAGTGTCCTTCTCTGCAATTGCTTCTCTGCAGCGTCAGCTCGCACTGCCTGGGGGCCTGGGGGGTTCCCCGTCTCCGAGTCCAACTTACACTGGCACGGGCTTAATTTCGTTGTTGCTGTCTCGACGAACGCCATCTTCGTTTCCCGCTTTCCATCCATCAACCCAACCATGAAGAGGCTTTCCGCCAGTCCGCAGGCCGGTCCTCATCGATGCAGCACCGCATCAACTTTTCACACGGATGCCGATGCATCGCCCAGGTCAGCGCCGTCGCCGTTGGCCGACCGGAACGCGGTCTCGACGTGGCTATGGCGCTTGGACATCAGCCTTCTAATCGTCATGGTCCTCTTGACCAGCTACATAACTCAGCTAGCCATACTTGCGGACGCTGTGCCGATCAATGTGGCCATCGCACAGCTGGTCATTGGAGTCCTCTGGCTCATCTGCACTGTTTCCATGGGCTTCTTTGCATCCGACTCGGCCGAGTGGCGCCAGATCACTCCAAGACATTCAACCTTTATCGCCGTCGAGGACAGCCGGGATCAACTATTCGACCTTCGGCCGCCCATGCGCGAAGGCCATGATGCCCGCGCCATCGACAAGCATTCTCAGCAACCCGCTGTTCCCAGCCCCTCACGGGAAAGTCAGCCTGGCGCACTTAAGCCAACACGCGACCTGGACGTGCAGGACGCGAATGACGAAGGCATCGTGTCGGAGCTGGTGTCGGAGTCTTTGTCTGATCCATGGCAAGATGCTGCTGCGACTGACGCGCCACCAACTGGCGAGCAGCAAGTACCAGCGTCATCTAACGTCGACAGCCTCATCCCCAACTCCCTCAGCTCACTTGCCTGCGAAGACGAGCCAACTACAGTTCCTCTCACACGAGCGGCACGCCAGAGAGACAAGAGCTGGACAGCCCGCACCTGCGCATGGCTGGGTAAAAGGGTCAGCTTTCGCTCGCGGCAGGGCGAGATCAAATTGAAAGAAGTGACAGAATGGGATGATGAGGAGAATGGATTCGTTGTGATCGAGAAGAGGTAGATCGAGAAACCTTCCTTTAGACAAAGAGACGGACAGCAAACATCTTTGTATGTGTGTTCTCTGTGGATGTCCTTTCATCTTCAGCGAGGTTTTTCCCCCCGCAACACTCCCCGCATCACCCCAGCCATACAACACTACACGACAGGCGGATCAGAGCAGCCTGCACGTCAGAAAGAGGCCAAGGGCGGAGACATGATAAAGCAACAATGGAGAGACATGGTGCTTGTCTGCTTGCAGGAACCAACGTTGATAGAGCGGTATCAAAGCTGGATTGAGGAGTCATGAGAGTGGTTCGGAGGCGGAGTTGCCCGACAAGGACGAGGCGGCATGACACTGTGGGCGGCCTGCTGGCCGCCCGTCGAGACGGACGTCGAGTGGTCCGTCCAGCATAAAATGACACAACAGCCCGCTTTCCGCTCGCACAGCTCAAGAGGCAAAGCCAGCATCCTGAACTGCCAGCGGCTCTCGAGGATGCGCAGAAGAAACAGTGACAGAGGGGGAGGGATTGGGGGCTTACAGGCTGCTTTTTGTGGAAGCGTGACGGGAGGGGCGAGAGGGGCAGCGACGGTTTGTTTTGTTCTCATGTCGATCCCTGTGGGAGGAAAGGGTGGTGTGTTGCTCATCTGATACAGATGTCCCACACTAGAGAGTGACTTGACGATTAAAGACCAGACCCCGTGTGTGGAGTGGATGAATATGCAATGACGTCAAAGCTTTAAGAACCCGGCTCACGTCTCATGCACAGCGTACACACATAGGCTGAGATCTGAGTCAAAACACACGCACCCTCGCCAGACTTGTCATCACATCGCGAGGCGAGATTGCGATCTCCTCAAAAAGTCTCCGAACCTTAAGCACGTCATGGTGGGTAGATGGTATTCAACTGTTGCCGACGAGCAAGCAGCGACACACACACACGCACAAATGGATCCACACATAAAGCCAAAACCACACGTACACTGACAGGCGATGTCGCAAGCACCATAGAAACAGGGATATAACAGTCGGCCACTTGCCACCTCAATACACCACACCGATTTTCCCACACACATAACTACCCTACCTGCATGCCTGTCTGCTTTTGGCCAGAGCTCCATAGCTGTCACGTCGAGCGCGCGAGCATCATTGACGCGACAGCACTCACCCACTGCCAGCCAGCAGACGGCTGCACATACACACACACGGACGCACATACGCATACACGAACGCGGAGAGAGAAAGATGAGAGAAGGACGCATGCAGGATTTACAGGAGTCTCTCTTCCTCTTCCTCCTTGCTAACCTGCAGTGTGTAGACCTCCAAATCGGCGAGGGTGAACTCATTGCTTGAGCCTAGGCTGGCGCGATCTTCGAAGTAGATGGCCCCCAGATACTTCTTGTCGGCCGGCAGGCAGTCCTTCAGCACCCAGTGACGACAGCGGGAAATGGTGGGATCAGGGGCATCGGGCTGGAAGCCGAGCCACAGACGGCCGGAGGCGCCATCAGTCATGTCACCGATGCACACCTTGCCAACCGGCTCATCTTGAAGGTTCTTGACGCCGGCTTGTGCGCCGGCCACGCAAATACACTGCTCGGCGTTCGACAGGTCGATCTTGGTGATGCCGTCACCATCAAACGCGCCACATACCGAGTACAGCGACACGGCACAGGAGGTCTTCGCCACTGCAGTGGGGTCGGCGGGCGGGGTGAGCCCGCCCTCGATGTGGCAGGCGATGATGGGGCCATCGAGGTCTTTGAGCAGCAGCAGGAGGTCGGTGGCGACTTGCTGCTGCTTCTTTGAGCAGCAGCAGGACCCCACATGCTCGAGCAAGGCCTCGTGCTCGAAGCCGTCAGCCTCACCCCTGACAGACGAACAACGAAGAGCGAAAATGAGAATTCAGTGAGTCAGCCGCTGCCCTCTCTGGTGACTTACTTGTAGAGTAGGTGTGGTGTTGCGTCCGTCATGCCGGTCGCGTCGACGAGTGCCCGCAGGCAGGACTCACACAGGATGGGGTCGGCCGGCATGGCATCCCACACCTGCACACAAGAAGGGGAAGGGATCTCATGACAGGCAAGCGCTTGTGTGACATCTGGTCCATGCCTGGCTTACTGGACTGACCTGGAAGACCTCCACTCGCTGGGCAGTGAAGCAGGTCGTCTCAGAGCCGGACAGTAACGCAGCGTGGCCGCCCGAGCCCCTGATGGTCTGTCCCGCAAACTTCTTATTGGCCGGCAGCTCTTCCTGCTTGACCCACTGATGGCACAGGCGAATGTCGTCAGTCGGGCGGTGCAGGCAGAAGTTGTAAGTCGGGTGGCGCTCGCCGTGTCCCAACCACAGGCCGCGTGCGATGCACATCTTGCCGCACGGCTTGCCCCATCTGTCCGTCACGCCCCCCTTTGTGCCGGCCACCGACACACGCTGGTAGTCCTTTGGGACGTCGATCTCGGTGATGCCCTCCTCAAACGCACCAGACACCGAAAACAGCGACACGGGGCACCAGAACTGCAACTCGGATGCGGGGTCGGCCGGCAGCTGCAGCTTGGTGTCGACGAAGGCTGCGATGGTGTGGGTGTCGCTGCACTTGATGACAAACAGGAGGCCGCGGCGGCCGGCCACCCGCCGCATCATGCTCTCATACAAATGACCGTGGAGCGCACTCCTGACACACACCACACAGATGAACGGGTTGATAAAACATGGCACAATGCCCTCCCTTTTTTGCCATCTCTCACTTGAAGACGCAGAGCATTGTTGGTTCCTTCTTGCCAAGTCTGTCGAGGAGCGTCTGCATGACGTCGTTGGCGAGTATGTTGGGGTACATGGCATCCAGCACGCCGTACATGTCACTCACACGCAACAGCTTGTCCTGGCAACAGCACGTCGGCGGCGCGACGACGGCGCCATCGGGGGAGAGGCGACACCGACGAGCGAAGTCGACGATCCTGAACAAACCAACAGACGAATCGGTCCGCTCTGTTGTCGCCGCTGGTGGTTGTCTGGGTGCCTACAAATCGAAGTGGTGCCCAGACACATCGACGATTGGAGTGGCGCCATACCTGCACAAAGGACACAGGAGAGTGAAGGACATCCAATGATCACCACAACAGCGTCCCCATTTCACCCCCCACTTGTACCTTTCTCCTCACTTGGTGAATCTGTCGTTGAGCGTGTCGAAGTTGGTCAGCGTGGCGTCGGTGGTCGCCACTGTGCGGCCGCCGACAGTCACACTGAGCACCTCCTCCCCTCCGCTGCCGCCCTTTATGGACGACTTGATGAAGGCGCCCATCATGGCCATGAAGCTCTTGAACAGCGCCTCGGGATGTCCGTCGATGTCGATGGGCGACGTGGCGAAGAATATGTCGTGGTAGAAGGTGATGTGCGGCCCCTCGTTGAAGATTTTGATCTCGTCGACCCACCCATGCTTCAAACGGGTCAGCTTCTCACACAACCTGACACACATACACAGACAGACAGACAGACACACAGGCAGACGACAGCGAAGCGATGAGTGAATGACTGAATGAGTGTCTTATCGCCGTCGTCTTATCGCCGTCACCACACGAAGTAGAGTGGATCTGCGTCGATGAAGATTGTCCTCTCGGCGTCCTTGTGCATCCAGTCACCGAACCGATGAAGCAGCACCGCCAGGCAGGTGTCCCGCAGCCCATCGCGCAGCAGCACGCCACTCGGGAAGGCCATGACGTACCCGCTGACATTGAGCTGCATCACGCCGCCACTCGTGCTGTCTGCTGCGTCTTTGCTGTCCGTTGACGAGGGCGCCTCCATGTGATGGTTGGGATGGCTGTCAGAGAATCACGATATGGTGTGTGTGCCTGTGTTTCCGAATCCCCATCCAATCGCTGGCGGGGTTTGCAAACCCTATCGGTTTCCAAACCCTAGCGTAACTCTCAGCGGCACGTATGCAGATTTTCTCCCTATATAGCATGTGTGAGTTGGTCGATCGATTTTAGGACGACCGTCACACACTGCCTGCCTACCGTCACACAGACACACTTTGAGTGACGTACGTGTAAATCACGTCCCTCAAGAGTCTGACTCACTCACGTCTCACTGCACGTAGAGAAAGATACATACAGAGGCTGAGATCTGGGAGCAGCAGCTCGAGGGTATCATCACACCACCGCACTCTCTTATCCATCCACCCTCCCACTCCTGCTCGTCACATAAATCTCCTAAGCTGCAAGTCTGTCCGCAGCATCCTCTGCACACACACCATCCCACCAAGACACACAGAGAGAGAGAGACATTGTTGACATACAGACAGCCCTTCCTCCGGTCTCGCGGGGTCACCTCGTATTGTTTGATGCGCTGCGACACCTCCTGAAGGCCTCTTTGATTATCCCACATCAGCAAAGGCACAAACCCACCGGTAGCATCCTCCGTCCCCTTAGCTTCCTCATGTTGAACCATTGACGCGCCACGCCTCTCCCCCACTGCCATAACAGGCTGCGCACGGGTGTCGCCTTCCCTTTTCTCTCCCCCATTGCCTTTGTCTTCCTCAGCTGTGTCTCCGCTTCTATACCTCGCGAGGGTCACTGCGGTACCGTCACACTGGGCCACAGCGAGCGAGTGCGGCGTCGCTGCATGTGACTGTGGGATGCGGAGAGAGAAGAGACAGGGCTCGAGAAAGGAATCCAGTCCAGGCTTGACGGACTGAAAGCCCAGCAACTCGCTGCCGTCAAGAAGTAGCATGTTGATCCTGACCCCCACGGTTGCCTGCATCGCCTCTCGCCCGGCTAGAATGTCGTTTGCTATCCACTGCGGACGGTCAAAGACTTGAGTGCCGCCCGTCAAGTCCTCGAAAGCCCCCCAGCCAAATAGCCTACCGTTGACGTCGCAGGCGAGTGTGCGGTCTCCGCCTATCGAGACATGTGTGATGCTGAAGCCGTGCCGCCAGAGATGGAGCACGAGGCTGGGCGGCAAAAGGGGAGGGGACGGTGGATTGCACGTCTGGCCGGTGTCGTTCGTCCCCCCCGTCCACAGCCATCCGCCCTGCCGCTGGTGGTCCTTCACCCGTCTGCAGCCGCCAATCAGGGCATAAGTGCCTCGCGGAGATATTGTCACATCACGGAAACGGACAGGCTTCCCGTCTTTGTCGTCCGACCTCCTGACGGACACAGCGGCGGGCAGCCGACGGACCTGCAGTGGAAGCATGCGTGTGCAACACACGTGTATGGATCGGTAGAGTCAGTTTCTTGAGACCTTGTCGTTTGGGAGCTGCCCCCAGAAGAATGGCGTCCCTGAGCGTGTCACACACGCGGAACAGTGCTGCCCAGCCGCCACCTTCGTTGCTCGTTCCTGCGTGAAGCGCCCGTCTCACCAAATCAGCGACGAGAGAGAGACATGCCTCCTTGTCACTCGTGCACTTACCTTCCTCGCCAGCAGATCGACAACCAGACGCGGTATCTCATTGTCTGTCACGTGTGTCCTGAGGCCGCACTGGCCCTTCCGATTGCTGCCCCACGCCCACACGGCCCCGTGCTGGTCCATGGCGATCAGGTGGTCATGGCCCGCAGCGATCTGTTCTATGAGGATGGGGATGTGGGAACGAGCAGAGGGGCCGGCAGGGGCGGGGTGGAGGAGAAAGCCTTCATGAAAGGCATGACATGAAGGGAGGGCACCATATTCATTCATCGTATTTTTCCGGCCACACCACACTGACCCAGTTTCGTCCCTTGGCCGTCCCGGACGATCGTGACGCCCCCGTTGCTCCCTCGCACGGCCACAAAATTTCTCCTGCACAATTGCGCAATGCGCATACCGACGTGCTCCTGTGCATTGCTCCCGACTGACCCCAATGCGATCGACAGCACTTGGGGAGAGTGGCGTAGCATATCCTCGTCTGCCGGCTGGTTGGGGAAGACGTGCATCAGTGACCTTATTTGGGCGTGTGATGACGCATCCAAAGGATCAAACTCCACACACAGGGGCTGCAATAAACGCATCGAAGAGACACGAAGATGATGCCGCCAACGAGACAGCCCGTTCTCCCATCCTACTTGTGCAGGCGTCAGCGGGCTGTGTGTGGCGCCGCTGGCCGATGAGCGTGGCAGTACCATGGTGAATATAGTCTCCTGGTTACCATCGCCTCCCTCTTGTGCTGCTGGTGGTGCTGCGGCTGCTGACGCACCCACTGACCCACCACTCGACCTGAATGTCGGCACGTGATGAACAACATCAGATCTCCTTCGACCAATGTCTCTGCCGTCCTCCTGGCCGGCCATGTGCCTTCTAGCGGCAACGCCACCGTCATCCAAGAGCTGCTGTGGTGCCGGTGCTGCCGATGAACCATGGTTGCTTGACTGGCCGGAATGTGGACGCCGTGCAGCACGTGGGATGGGTGTCAGGGGATGGCGGTCGCCTTGGAAGTGATACGAAGGCAAAACGGTGCTTTGCAATGGGAATGCTGGTGGCGGAGGTGCAACGACGCGATGTGTGGCTGTTGGCGGGCAGGGGTCTGCTGAGATGTCGACTGGGCCAGCAACCCGAGGAGGCGGGGAGGGCGTGCGCGGCCTCTTTCTCACGCCCGTCGGCGGACATGGATGTGGCTGGAAGGCTATGAAAGACGAGCCGTGGGGTGCCCAGCCTCTCGCTGCTGTGTGCTCTTTTGACGGAGACGACGCTGCCTGCTTGAAGCGCTCATATGAACTTCCACCAACAAGAACGTCGCGCAGCTGCAGGACATCAGCTGTGGTAGTCAGGTGGCTCTTGAAGCGGCCACATTGAGCATCAAATCCGTCCATACTGCGGGTTAAAAGTTCAAGCGACGTGTGGGGCCGTGGGGGTCAGCAAGCTCGAGCGCGTCTTCAACTTCAAGTTCAAGCCCGACTCCCACTTTCGTTCCACATTCGCTTTCCCCATGACTGACCAGCAGCAGCAGCGTCGCTCTCCTTCCATTGTGGTTACCGCGCCAATGCAGCTCCATCAGCAGAGTCAGCCCCACGCTGCCGTACTCGCGGCCTCGTACCCCACGGGCCCTTTCTTCCAGCACCAGCCCTCGTTCGGTGCGTCGTTCGGGTCGCCACCGCCGCCCCTGCAGCTCCAGAGACCGGGAGGCGACAACCAGCCCGCTCAGCCCGTCGCCTCACCGGTGCACCTCCAGAAGCACGTGGGGTTCCGTTCGCCGAGGTACATTCCGTCGCCTGCTCACTCCACCAGTGGTTCGCCCAATCGTTCGTCGCTGCTGGGGATGCCGCCCGGCGACATCCGACCCGCTCCGCCCGTGTATGTGCCGACGCCACGGTACTCGTACCTGCCTCGCGGCAGCCAGGTGCTGAGCATGTACAGCGCCCAGCAGCCGATGTCGGTGCACCCGCTGCTGGTGACGGAGCAGGGGTTGAGTCCGGTGTCGACCTATCGTGTGTCGGGGGGTTCGTTGGCCTACGGGGAGGGGGCGCCCTCGTCGCCCAGCGGGTCGATATCGCCTCCACCACACATGATGCAGGGGGGGTCATCGCCGCTGGCTCGGTGCGAGAAGTGGACCGACGCCGCGAACATCTTCAAGGCGCGCATTGGGTATTCGCTGCCGGGGCTGCGCGAGGACTTCGCGGCGGTATAGAACACGAAAGGAGGGAGGGAGGAACGAAGAGAGACACGTGCTCTTTGGTGTGTGGGTGTGGTTGGGTTGTGGATTTTCAGGTTGTGTCGGTGTTTGACAAGGAGTTCCAGACGTTGAAGGCCCGGCTGGAGGAGACGACCAAGCGGCTCGATGACGTGCTCGCCAATATCGAAAAGGAAAAGGAAACCACTGATAAACCAAAAAAAGAGCATTAATCCTGAAGGTACGATGGATGCATCGCACAGCTACGCAGGCCGGAAGGGAGACGCGATTGTTCTTTCTTTGCTGTGTTCGGCAGGGTGCGGTGCGTGGAATGGCTGAAGGGTTATGGAATCATGTGTGGATTCATGTGTGCATTTGTGGGCTGAAGGACTGACATGACATGGGTGGAGAGTGACTCTCAAAGCAGAGTGGTATGAGCCGATGGATGACACGGCCGGTCGCTCTCGCATGGGGTACTTAAACATGCACTGCGCCAATCGTCAACACACAGAGCATCAGACACAAAAACTCCATTCTCAGACACAAAGAACTGCCGCGGCACGCACAAATGTCCATCC